GAGGTAGTGGGGTTAGGTTGAGGAACCGAACGAACCGGTATCATAGTAAATAGAGGATCCTGTTGCATATTATCTTTAGGAACCAATCTGGGTGATGTAGATGTAGTAATGTCGTTTTTGGCAAACGGAAAAGTGTCTTCATGAAACACAACATCTCTGGAGATCAAGAACTTGTTTTCAACTAGATCATATAGCCTGTAACCTTTCTGAAGCGTAGGATATCCCATAAATATACAGCGGGTGGCCCGGGTACCAAATTTGTCATCGGAGCCAAGGGTGGTAGCATAACAAAGAGAGCCAAATACTTGGAGGTGGTCAAGAGCTGGTGGCTTCTTGAATAGTATCTCATAAGGAGTCTTACCATGAAGAACTTTATTTGGCATGTGGTTGATAAGTTATGTGGCTGTGATCACACAATCTCTCCAAAAGGAAGTGGGTATGTGGGCTCTGTGTTTGAAAGCATAGGCTACTTCAAGTAGATGGCAGTGTTTTCTTTCGACGACCCCATTTTGTTATGATTTATATGTGCAAGAGCTTTCATGTAGAATGCCAATAGATAAAAATGGAGATGAACAATTATAATTAAAGAAATCCCTAGCATTGTCGGTTTTAACTCTTTGGACAAAAGTATGAAATTGGGTGGTGACCATGGACAAATGTTGTTTAATGTGAGTAAGTGTTTGGGTTTTGGATTGCATGAGGAATGTCCATGTGCCCTGAGAAAAGTCATCGACAATAGTGAGGAAAAATCTGGATCCATCATGATTTGGGGTATGCCAGGGACCCTAAATATCAAGATGGATTAAAGCAAAAGGTTGGGTTGTAGTGGAAGTGCTATGCGGAAAGGTAATGTGGGCTTGTTTAGCTAATGGACATATAGGACACTAAGGTTGAGGGATAGTTGCACTGTGACCTAATCTTTGATGAAGAATAAAAGAATTTTTATTAATTATCGTATTACAATTGGAAATTTCATTTAGATTACAAGGAGGAAAATTTTTAGTAGACTCAGTAGGTGTCCAGTAGTATAGACCTCTATTGACTTTACCCAAGCCTATCAGTTTTTCAGTTGAAGGGTCCTGAAATTTACATGTGCAAGGACAAAACTCTACAGTGCAACTATTATCTTCACATATTTTGGATACTAAGATGAGGTTAAAATGAAATGCAGGAACACATAACACATTTTAAGTGATAAAGTGGTAGATAATTGGATGGTCCCTATATGAGTGGTTGGGGTGATATTCCTGTTCGACATAAGAGGTAGTGGAAATAGTGGTAAAAAAATTTGGGGGACAAATTATGTAATCTTTAGCCCCTAAATCAATAATTTACATATCAGTTGTGAGTAAATTAAAATGGTAAGAGGTACCTACGTAAGATGTGGTGGGAGCAGTTGGGACATTGTTCAACAATTGGAGCACTTAGTTATATTGTTTCGGATTGACAGTGGGTGCTGACTGATTTCCAAGAGAATCAACTTGGAAAGAAGAAGAATTGTCATTTCTGTCATTGTTGTTGGAATCCGGACGACCATGTAATCTCCAGCAATGGTCCTGATCATGATTTCTTCTTTTGTAATAATCACAATACAATTGGTTTTTATGGGATCTTGAATTTCTCAACTCGTTTGACCCATTTCCAAATCCATTTGACTTGTTTGACCAATAAGTTGACCTGTTTGACCCATGGCGTGACGTGGCACAATTGGAGCCGTGAGATGTGTTTAAAAACGTGATGAGTTTTTGACCGTCAGATCGCGAGATTGAATCTGAGCTCTTCATCTCGCATATATAAGAGAAAGATTTTCACTTTCATTTTGCCCTAGCTGTTGTTGATCACCATTCTCTCTCAACTCTGCCAGTGCCATTGAATCTAGTGGTGTTCTGTTAGATTCAACTGGTATTGGCTTTCATCTTGCACTGCCAGTTGAAAACTATGGCGGAGAGAGGGTGGTGGAGACATGGGTAATACCTATGTCCTAAAAGAAAGAAAACCATCATATAATCCGAGCAAAAAATGCGACAATCGATCGTGATCTCGCATTCTGTAGTACTGATTAAGTGTTTTCAGTGGCCCCTAAAGAGTTTCTTCGGCAGTGTCTAACTCATTCCAAACGACAGAGAGTCGATTGAAAAAAGTGGTGACTGAGTTATTCCCTTGCTTGAGTTCAATGAGGCATTACCAGAGAGTGAAGGTTTTGGCGAGATCTAACTTCCATTCATCTTCTTGATGTTAGCCCAGATATCGGTGGCCAATTCTGTCGGTGGGAGCCTAACCGTGACCTTTGACAAAAGACAATTGCTGATCCATGATCGGACCAGCATATTACAATGATTCCAGTGGTGTTGAAGATGAGGTTGCGACGATGGTTGAAAAGCCCCATCAAGAAATGAATATTTGTCTTTCGTGATGAGGGCTCGTCGGAAATTGCAAGACCAGGAGGCATAGTTGTTTGATCCGGTTGGGGTTTGTTTGATGAGGACTAATTCATGTCCATCGAAGACTGGCGAGAAAAGAACATCGCCTGGTTTAGGGCAATTGTTCTCGGCGGTTGGAACAATTTGAGATGGATACGAGTAGGGATTTGGATTTGAACCCGATGTAGGAAAGGAATCCGGGTTGTAACCTAGTATTCCAAGAGAGGCTGGGTCAGGCGTTGAATGGGCTGTGTGCGCTTCAATTGTATGGGTTGTAGTAGGCATAGATTGAGTGTTTGGGCTGGAGCTGTGTGGATTGTCTATGGTGATTGGGATGTTTGTATTAATTGGGTCATCTGGGTTTTTTGTAGTTGTATTTGGGTTGATTTCCATGCTAAAGGGTAATGGTTTTTTTTTTTTTTTTTTTTTTTATTGTTTGCAAGGACAAAGAGAAAGAAGCTAAGTTGATAGGCAAACAGAAGCTTTTAGCTAAGCTCTAATACCATGTAAGGAATTGAGATAGAGACAAAAAGAAGGATAAAGAGAAGCAGTTCAAGATAATGACACTACCAGAGTATGCCCAAGAGAAAAGAAAAGATAAGAATCTTGTATATTCAGTATATTGTAAGGCTATACAATTGGCTAATTTATACAATTTTGTAAATGTAAAGAAGGAAAGTAATAAATACAAAAATCCTTGTAATTGTTCAATCAATCACATGAATTAAGTTGATTGATTGAAACTTTAATCACTCATTAATCTCAGCCAACAGAGATCAAGGGAAATCAGTAATAAAGGCATTCCATATTTCGTCAATTTGGATTGGATGAAGAAAGATGTTCTTATTTGATATTTGTATTTGTTCATTTGGATTAAAATTTCAAAATTTAATTAAATACATTTGGTGTAAAACATTTTATGTTTGATTAAAATTTGAGGAAGTTTGGAAGAAATATTGCAAGTTTAATTAACATTTTATGTTTAATTAAAAGGTTATGTTGGAAATTTGGGTTTACAGTTGGGTACACAGTGACCGAACTAAAATTTTGGGTACTTACATATTCTGATATTTCATAATCTGGTTCGGTTATCAGGTACTATTGTTAAACTACCCGAATATTCGGTTTGGGTAGAGAAATGATACATTCGGGTCAGGTACACGGTTTTGCCCAGCCCTAGTTATTTTTACCCTTTTAAATATTTATTTGTTGTTATGAATCTAGCTCCGTTTGTTTCATTATTTTCACCATATCCTATCCTAACGTATTATCGTATCCAATCATATCAAAATACATATTTGTTTTAATATTCATAATTCAATTCAAAATCCAATCATATTCTATTCAACTCAAAACATTTAACAATTACTTTTCTCAATAAAAGTTTATAAATTAACATTAACAAAAACACTCTCACCCACCCAACTATTGCCGACAGCCAACCACTACCTAGCAGTGGTGGCTAGCTGCCGACAATAGTTGCGTGGGTGAGTGGGAGTGTTTTTATCAATTTATAAACTTTTATTGTAGAGGGTGTTTAGTTTAAATTAACAATTCTAGGGGGTTTAAAATAATCTAGGGGTGCGTTTGGCACATTATTTCTACTTATATTCCCAATCTTATTCCCCAAATATTGTTTGGCACATTATTTAAGAAATATTAGTATATTTTTTAATTACTTTTAGACCCCTTAAGTTTATTAATTTCATTAAATACCCCTAGAAAAAAGTTTAAAAATTAACAAAAATACCCCTACCCACCCATACTTGCCAGTTTCCGGTAATCACTGTCGGTGGTAGCCAGAATCTGTCACAACAGCCTACACCATGACCTGAACTGGCCGGTAATTCACCGATCTGGCCGTCTGGACTTTTGCGGTTGTCGACGGCTAGATCTGGCCGTAGATCTGGTGTTTTCTGGCCAGATCTACCACGGATCTGGTCAGAAAAAGCCATATCCTGGTGGATCTGGCCGAAAAAGGCCATATCGACGCCCTACCCACCAGATCCTACTGGTCTGTGTCATAATGTAATTTTCGGCCAGATTCTAGCGGTGGTGGCCGGAATCTGGCACTGCAGGTGGTCGGGGTGTTTTTATCATTTTACAAAATTTTTATATATTGGGATGTTTAGTTAAATTAGCAAACCTAAGGGGTTTTTAGAAATTTTTAAATTTTACCTCGTAATACTCTCATATTCAATCGCCTAATATTATTCTCAAAATCCTATCTAAAATAATAAAACAAACAGACCCAAAGTTTACGTTATAAATATGAGGTGGTAAAAATATTTATGAAGAATAGGAAATTGAAGTTATAACGGAATAATTCACTATATAAATAAATTTGTGATGATAAAAATTATTTAAAAATGAGATTTCTTGAGCTTATTAATGAATTGGCATTACATCCGCCCTCCAGTTAATCAAAGGAAAATCCATTAAAAAAGATTGCATCAATTGCCCACAACCGTTCATAAAATCAGTGAAACCATTCCCTCCACTACCACCACCAAATCTAAACCGGGAACAAAAGCATTTTCCACTGTAGCCCCTCTTATTCTAACCATTACCATTATGTTTTTACTTGTGAAGGTGGTGGAAACTCATTTGGTGATTGTGAAGGTGGTGCTCTTGATGATGATGAGGAGGAGGATTATACTCCACTCCATTGATGCATTCTGAAGTTTTTGCAATCTCATGAGGCCATACTCTAGACGGGTTTCTTGTTAGCTCCAGCAATGAATCCCTCAGATGATCAGCTTGAACAATCTCGTTATCCATTTTCTGCCATCAAGAAGTTATAATAATCAGAACAATTAAAATAAAAAGAGTAGTTTTAATTTTGCTATCTAAAAACGTGTTCATAATTTTACCTTCACTTTGAAAACATTTGAAACAAGTCCCCTAAAACGGGTTATATTCGCATTTGTCACTTCCAGACCCAATGAATTCAAAGCTTCCATCAATTTTACAAATCCAGCAGGCTTGTATTCGCAAAACACTTTAACAAAGAACTCGTTACCATCTAATGGAGCCACTTCAACTTGCACCTTCAAATGTACATTTGTTCGATACAGTAAAATTAACATATTGAAAGTCTAATTTAAAAGAGGAAGAAGATATTATATTTAGATTTTACAGTACGTTACCTCCATTTGTTGTGTCTTGTCATTAGTGATTTCTAGGTCTTGATTCTGAACTTTAGGAAGAGTACTGCTATTACCTGAAGCAGTTGCACCCAAATGAAACCCACCACTTTGACTGAAAATTTCTGGCTTCACGATGTTGTGGTTAACATTCATGCTTGTATTATTGTTCTTGGCGCTCCCTTCATCATCTGAATTCTCCTCCAGTTCATCTTGAAGCTCTTTTATTTCCTTTAGCAAATCCTTTATAAAGTCTATTGCGTCACCAAGGATTGAAGCTTTATCCATCTGAAAACATCAAACATCAAATCATTCTATAATACTGATACAATTTATTGTTAGAAGATAAAAGATCAAATTAAAAGGAAGAATGGTTTACTTTTGAAATTTTCGGAACCAAAGCTCGAAGAGCATAAAGCCTGTCATTAAGTTTCTTCCTTCTTTTCCTCTCAGCTACAAGGTTTTTAGCTTGAGGTCCCTTCCCAGTTCTCCTCCGATACTTGGCATCATCCTCATCATCAATCTGGTCACTGCAATCCGAGATTGAATCTGACCGTCCATTTTCATGCACATTATTAACTGGTGAAGAGAAATTAGCATCCATGTTGCTTGTAGTAACCATTGCAGCTTCCTGCCCCATTGATATGCTGCATTGCGTTGTGATAAAATCAATCACATGTGGATCTTCAGGTACCTGAAAATATCATGCATCAGCGGTAGCACATACAACTGTCTAGTTAGGTTTCTCAAATTAATCTTATATGTTAGACAAAAAGAATAAGTGGAGAGGGCAGTGTATACTTCTTTAGTTGCTAACAGCTCAACCAATCCTCCCACCACTGGTATCAAGACCCTAGTCCAAACTGTTTCCTGAAAATTATCACAAGGAATGTAATGTTAGATCAATTTTTAAAGCGGGGAAATGTGCAACGGATGCACATAAATTCTGTGTTATATCAATAAGTATGAATGTTTTTAATAGGATATTAATATTTTCAAAATTAAAGGGAATTTATATACCTTCATAACATCTCCATGTGAGCTATTAGAGAAGTTTATCCAACTTGGATGGTTTGAAATCAAGGTCTGTGCATGATTAATCCTGAATAATTATGAGATCAAATAGCTAGTTATATAATTGAAATATATATATATATATATATAAGTAATTAAGAAAAGTTGATGAATATATATAAAAATATTTACCCGGAGTCTAGGGGAAAAGAAGAAGGAAGCTGAGAAAGAAGTTCACAAGATTCAGTTCTTGGATGCTGAATTATAACATCCCTACAAGGAAGAACCGGAGAAACTGGAAAATGAAGCTCTTCTCCGCCATTAATGTTGGTCATCTCAATTCCAGCACAACAACAATCCATCCACTCAATAAATCTAAGTGAAAAGAGATTGATATTAATAACGTAATGCATAAATTTAAATATAAATTAATATGCTGATTATAAACCATTTCATAAGGAAACTAATTAAATTCATAGCTTGTAAAATCGAAACAAAATCTATTTTATGCAATCCGAAGGGAATTAGGTAATCGCATTGTAGACTTGGAATACACACATCTACTTCGTATGCAAGCTGATAAGGCTGAGATAGTCCGAGCCAGATCAGAATGGCAGTCCAAACAAATAACACAAGTCACCACTAGATCTCACAACTTGTTCTCAAAACCACTTAACTTTAATTTGCTCTACAATTTGTTTGTTGCGAGTAAAACTTCTCAGGCTAAATATGCACATTTTTGCAAGTGCAATTATGTTTATTATATATGTTTGATGTACCGAGCTCTTTAAGTTTGCCATTTATGTAATGAAAAATGAAACTTATACAGAGATGTATTGTAAAAATAAACACCTAGCCTTTCCAACCACAACAAATCGACTCAACAGTAAACTTACTACAAATAAATTCCCAGACATATTTGTTTTAACAGAGGGCAACAAGAAACATTCATGGATCTTTTAATATAAATTCCATTTGGAATCTTAGCTGGACATAAGCATTTTAATTCTCAGTTAAAAATTCCTATACATCAGAATATTCACATGAGTAACTTGATGGTCAGAGTGATTTTTGTAAGTATCCTTCAATTTCCATACACTAGATTCATCAGTACATGTTACATCACACAGTATATAAGAAGCAAATTAATTTGGTCCCGACAGCAAAGGAAGAAATAATAAATTAAGGAAACTATATCAGTGGACCTATTTTGGATTTTACAGTTTCGCTTTCCTTCGTGACAGAGGAAAATACAACTGCTGATTGTGCTGTGTATTTATCTGTCTATCAGATTTTTATGTAAAGGCAAGGAAACTGAAATTGGGCAGCCCTCTACAGTTTTTGATAAAAGAGTGCATTCGCACTACTGGAGGTTGTCGTGGTAAAACATTTTAAAGTGTAGAGCACTTTGAAGCTCAAAGATCCTTTTGGTCTTGGTTGATTAAACTTTTTGTGGCCACGTCCATTGCTATTCTAGTTCTATTGATACGTAAGTCATTGAATCTGCAATTGACTAAATGTGAAGGAATTTAGAGAAGAATAATATATTTTTCTATTGTCAAAGAGAATGATGACTGAAAGTGAATAGTTATAGTTGTTAGAGGGGAATCCGGCGGTTGATAATATTGTATAAATTAAATTTAAATATCAATAATTCCACTGCTTCATTCTACTGGGATGCTATTCGTTGCACCTTCATTAGAAAGGCTAAATGTGAAGGTGACAAAGGGTGTTATTAATGACATTTTTCCAAGACACAGAATCCTTCTTTCTGCTTGGGGGTCTTATCAAGCTCCTGGAGCAAGTACTGCAGATCTTCCAGGTCAGCCAAAATCACTATTGACTTGGCACTTCTAATGCTACAGAAACTCTTCAAATAATTCAATCATTAGTCCCAAAAACAACTAATACTAAACTTAAGGAGGGATACGCAACTTGCTCTGGCATATGATAATGCCATTGTGACCTTGGTGATGCTCAACAACACTTGAACACGGTGATCCAATGGGTGTCAATTTCTCAGCTTCAGCTTCCATGGATGAAGCCGGCGATTGTGATGATAATTAAAAGGCTCCCAGCGGATCCTCCAGTCCTGAAGGGCAACCAGGATCTAAATAACATTTGTAGTATTATTTTGGTTATTGCTAACCTTATACCCCGATGAAACGTGTTTGTTTCTAACAAATTGCTTTAGTCACGGTGGCAGTGTATCCATCAAGTATGGATTTCAACACAGATACTATTTAATAAAGTTTTAAAAGCAGTTTGCAGTCAATAACTTCAAATATTTTTTTCTCTATGTGCAGACTCCACCTAGTCATTCACTTAGCAGTAAAATTTTTGGAGTATTACCCATATGATCATTGATCCTAGAGAAGCACATTGTGTTCACCAGATAAGTTAATATCTCATAACACATTGGATCAGCATCAGCCTTAATATGAATAACTTTGGAGAGCAAAAGTGTAAGCAAGCATATTTTATTGAACATATGGATATAAGGGCCCAGGGACCAATATCTTTCATCAACATAGTTCAATTTATAATCTAAAAACATTCCAAAAGCTATATGTGAAAAGAACAGACAGAAGTGAGGGGTATCCAATTATTCTCTTATATTAGATTTACAGCATAATGTTATTTCACCATCATCAGCATTACATTTATATGTTTCCCAATCTTATTCAAGATGATGGACCTAATATCCAAAGATAACAAAGCAATACAGTTTGACTGAATTACCAGTACAATTCAGAACGCAAAGTAGTATGTTGTAGTCTATCACAAGAACTTTATCCAAATGGGACAGGAACAGTTTGCAAATTCAACATGCGCAGGATGAGCACATACTCTGCAACACCCTCTGTGCTCTCAAAGGTAGATTCAAAGATATGAGTGAAACCTTGATGCAGATTCTCAATACTCACTCCGTCCCCTGTTGCAACACATAACAAAATGGCAAAAGGGTCAATCTTTTTGAACTCAGGCACCAAACCCCACTAAATTATGGTTTTAAACATCGCCATTTTCCAGAAAGTGTGTAGATCCAGAGAAGTATATTATAAGCGTAATTTGTTAAACGCTATGAGGCAGCAATACTACTTACATGAGCCACCAGGTCTCAAGCTTTGCATCAAAACCTGCTTATGTAAAGGTTAAGAGACAATAACTCGAGGTTTGGTAAATTCTTCACAGAATGTAAGTGCCCTGCTTTTGAATCCCAGAAAGAGTATTCTAATCTTTCAATAAGGCGCCATCAAAAACACCAAAGCAGGATTTCCAAAACTCGAAAAACCACATAACCCATAAAAACAATAGCTAAACAAGATCGCATATTGAGTGTTTATCATATTACCATTGAAAAGACTTCATGTTCGGAGTTTGACGAGATTGCATACCTTGATGAGCTGTCAATTTGATCTGATTTTACCTCGTCTTTGAACCTAGCGAGTAACACGTGCTTCACCACTCCTTTAGCCTCTTCCATCCAAAACTCTCTGGCGCTCTAAATCTCCCTACCTTTGTCGCTCCTATACGGATATTTTCAGCCCAACTCACCCCGAACATATTTTTATTCATACATATATGATGTAGACTTGTCATACACTTGTATATAAGAAAAGACTTGACGTTTCAAGATAATTTATTTGACGACTTATGGAACACAGTGCTTATTGCATTAAAATAATAAAATTTCTCAAGGATAATAAGGTGTAAATGATTTGGTGTAGAAATGGTAGTGGGACGTGGACATTATTTTAAGGTCCAAAATTTTATTCGAATCTCTCAACCGCATTAAAAAAAAAAAAAAAATAGCGTCACAATCCAATCTCAAAAGATGATGAAGAATAACAAAAACAAATATGGGAACAGCCTTAATAATACACAATATGCCAGTAAAAGAACCCGTTGATGTAATCCATGACTCATAAACCTTACAAATATAATTTATTGATTTCTTCAACAACATCTTTTATGTCTTCTTTGTTCATCCGTGAAACAAGATCCTGGTAAAAGTAACCCTAATAGTTAAAAGGTTTCATCTGGTCACAAAAAGAGAGGTAGTAATCTTTTTTGTAATGCATGTATTGGATTACTTAAGGAACTTAATTTGAGGAAATTCTTTATAAATTATAATGATTGTTGGGGATAAAATACCCTAGCCCAAATCATAAAGTCTGACTGAAAGCTCAAATAAACGGGTCAGGAATCCCAACAAGGGTCTAGAATTTAAAAATATTGAAAATGGGCCAGATTAAGGTTTGGGATGTCTGTGGCCCAAACCCGAGAAGTCTGTCCCAAGGGAAAGCGGTCCAAGCTGATAAAACATTTTCATTAACTTTCTCTAGACAGCTCGTAATTAATTAAACGAAACCCATTACGAGTTACCACGTCGTGTTTGTGAGAGAGAGTTAATAAGAAGCGTTTTTCAACGTATATTACCCATCAATTAAGTGGAGTAAGTGACGGACACATGGCACACAGAAGACGATGATCGTCAACCACCTATGATATGTTTGCTTCCAATTATAAGATAACTTCCACTCCCTATTTCTTAGGAGATTAACTTCTCACTATCTCATCGTTCCAATTAAGAACATGACCACCAGCCACCATGCTTGGCACCACGATGCCACCAGAATTCATGGCCAAACACCCTATAAACACTCCACATGATCTCAAAGGATAGATTAATAAACTCCCCCAGGGGGCTAAGGGTAAAAGACTTAGTTCTAAAGAATCACGAATTACATAATTTTTCTCTCTGTTTTACTACTCTTTTTATTTTATTTATTTTATTGTGTATATGACTTAAGCATCGAGGGGCTCAGCTAGTGTAAAAGACTTAGTTTCAAGAGTCACAAATTTCATCATTTTTTCTCTCCGTTTTGTTACCTTTTTTATTTCATATTGTTAAGGTCAAAAAATGTCATCGGTCTCAATAGACCCAAAAACGAAACACCTTTAACGGAGCTCAGAGCAATATCCAATTCTGATTGGGCCCACCACAAAAATCCATTTATTGGGTTCGCTCATTACACCTACCAAGTTATTCACTGATTACCCCTCAATGCGGCCCCAATTTACTTAGGCCTCATCGATCCATTTGGGCCCAGGTCCATTGATCCAAGATCACCTATTGACCTACGTTTTTACTTAAACCTCACGGTGAGAACTGGGGGTTTTAAGGTTGTATATGATGAATTGTGAGAGGGTAGGCCTCTGCTTATATAGCAGTTTGTAGGTCTTCGAATCCTAGTAGGACTATGAGTCTTTGGTGGTTGAGGTTATGAATAGGAAGTTGTTAATTCCCTTACCTTAGTAGAAAAGGGATCCATACAGTCTAAGATACAGATCCTAGATGAATTATGATAATAATGGTCTCTTCGAAGAATTCGATAGTACCAAAATTGGAAGTAGTTCGATTCTGTTTCCTGAAGTGGTGGACAAAATCGAAACCGCACAGTGCCAATTTCACCAATTTTGAATCAGAAACACCTCGATAGAGATGCAATGGTAGGCCCCCATGACCAGGCCCAGGCCCGGACCCATTAAGGGGATGGCAGGTAATGCCTAGGCTCGGTCCGACAGGCTTTTTATAACCCTAGTCCCAACCCATGTTAATTTCTACAATTTATTTTCTCATTGGCAATCTTTGATATATATTTCTTTGTCATTCATATTAACTTAATTAATAGTATCTCTTGCTCTAATCCCTATTTTTTGCATGCATAGATTATATGATGGGCAGTAGATCTTGAGTTTGACTAAAATCGCAATAATTATTATTATAAATTCGTTTCAAAATCATAATCAAATAAAATAAAATCTAATTATTTTTTTTTATGATAACTTAAACCTGAATGACATTTTTATTTTATTTATTTGGAAAATAAATGGAATGCAATTTAACATCATCAAATAAAATTTCATTCTTGGACAAAGATAGGACTAAACTTAATTTTGATAATTCATAATGCATATATCATTGAAATTAATTAATTGAAGAATGACGAGTATCAATTGTTGCTTCTAGGGAGAGGAAATTGCATGATGAACGCCGTTTTATGTCCGTACAAACCAGTCTGCAAATGCAAGAAGCTGTGTATCCTCAATGCATACGTAAACAGATTTCAAGATTTTATCGGCTAATTAACTAGAATAATTTTCTTACCAACTTGACTTCATTTGTGAATCTGTACTTAAAAACCGTAATATTTTTGAAAGAGAAAAAAAAAAGAATATATATATATTAGTCCAAAGAAATTCATTTCCTTAAATATATTTAGTTTTTATTTCGATGAGATATTTTCCCTACTTACTACTTAACGGAAGTTTATATCTTACCCCCCTCGAAATTTAAATCTTAATCGGAAGTTTAGAACCTAACACATGTTGGGGAAGTTTATTTTGGCAATTATTTGAGATTAGTAATTAATTAAAAAACATATGATTCTATTTGGCCGAGCTTATGAAAATTAGCATCTGTCGCGAGCCTTTTCACTAGTTTTTTTTTGGGTTTCTTGTTGCGATTAGAGTGGTAATTGTTAGAGTTGATTGAACGGGATTTGGAGTACTCTAAGGTTGAGGATTGTTTTTGAGTGATTTTGTGTTGATTGATTGAACCCCCTAGCCGTTTTCCATACCGCCGACGACTCACCAACCTTTCCCCTGCACTTTGCCCACTAGGTGTCGAAGTATGTGGCAACGAACACCCAACCTACGTGCACAACATGTGAGTCCAAAACATAGTTATGGTTAAAACAATTCGTACAAAACTGATTCAAAGAGAAGAGAAGAGATTACTTACTGTACCAAAATGCCAAATGCAGCAGCTGATTTATCTTCAATTAGGTGCTTAAGTGAGAGAAGAGAAAAAGATCTTGATTGTACCTAGCTCCCAAATCGATTTACTGGCCGGTTTTGATGACAGAAGTGTTTTGAGGAATTGGATTTAGATAACTTTTTTTTTTTTTTCACGGGGACTCGTGGGTATACCCGGCCCACCCGCCAAAAAAAAAGGGTAGATCCAAGTAAAATAAAAAGGGTCTATAATGGTAGACCCGTACCCTATATTATTTTGATGGGTATGAGTTCACCCACAGTATGGACCCATTTTGCCAGGTGATATGTAGGACTAAGGCATCTCCAAATGACTCTTATATGACCTAAACTTTTTATTATAAGAGTCTATCCTAAAAACAAGAGTGCACATACTCTTATCTTTAAAATATAAATTAGATAGTGAGTTTGACTCTCCACATTAAAGAGTCAAATTTCACTCTCTATCCTAATTTAATTAATAAACACAATTTCTATGCATTTTATTTATTAATCTCTCTCTCCCATTAATCTCTTTCTTAATAAATCACTTTCTTAAAATAAAGAGCATATTCATTAAATTTAAAGAGTCTATTGGATTTGAATAAAAATTATGTTCTTTATATTTAAAAATTAATAAAAAGCTCTTTATTTATATAAATATGTTTTTCAAAATAAGAGACACTATTGAAGATGCTCTAATTAAGGTAAGCCTTTGTATGGTTTTACAAACCATGCGGGACTTTCACAAGCTGACAAAAGGAGTCTATTTCTAACATATACAAATTTTTAAATACTCAAATATATCTAAGGATACTACACCACTCAAATTTCACCAAATGTTTGAAAGAAAAAAGCGAGAAAATTGAATTTAATTAGGTAATGTCCTTTGTAGAAAAGTTTATATTTAACAAAATTTTGGTTGGTTTTAACAATTACAACCTTATGTTATAAATCCCTGAACTTTGAAGAATAACATCTTGATAGTTGATATTTGATTTGCATGTAACAAAGAAACATATAAACATTAAATTAATATCATAAGGTATTGAAAACTTTCCTAATTACATTACTTTTTGTTGTTCCTTATAAGTTTTCCAAAGGAAATTTGGT